ATTTTAGTTCTGAAACCTTTCACACTTATTCTAATACTGTAAACTTTTCCATGTCCATAATGTTTACAGTGTAGATATTCACACTTTAGATTCGATTAATCTGCTCATTTTTTACATTAGTTGAGGGGAGGAGACAAGATATATTTCAGTTCTGAAACCTTTCACACTTATTCTAATACTGTAAACTTTTCCATGTCCATAATGTTTACAGTGTAGATATTCACACTTTAGATTCGATTAATCTGCTCATTTTTTACATTAGTTGAGGGGAGGAGACAAGATATATTTCAGTTCTGAAACCTTTCACACTTATTCTAATACTGTAAACTTTTCCATGTCCATAATGTTTACAGTGTAGATATTCACACTTTAGATTCGATTAATCTGCTCATTTTTTACATTAGTTGAGGGGAGGAGACAAGATATATTTCAGTTCTGAAACCTTTCACAATTATTCTAATACTGTAAACTTTTCCATGTCCATAATGTTTACAGTGTAGATATTCACACTTTAGATTCGATTAATCTGCTCGAGTTGTGAATCCGATAATCTATGGTTTGCGGACCAGTGCGCACTTTGGTGGACTTGTGTTGGAAAATACTACGTGGAATATTGAACCTAAATTTAACTTCACGTTTGTAGATAACGATTATTTTCTGGATCAAGTAATTACGTCTTTGGCACCCGCTTATTCAGCTCAACATTAGTCTTGTGCTGACAGCGCCATTTTCTTTTTGCTAGTCCCACCGGTGATTGTTGATGGCGAGAGCAGTTCAGATGAGCTGGTTAGAGAAGGATTTAACATTACCTTATCATGCCGAGCTAAAGGCTACCCCACCCCAACAGTCACGTGGAGGAGAGAAGACGGGCAACCAATCGGGCAAAATAAGAAAAAACAGAGTAAGTTAAAAAAAACAACAAACCTGTATCTTCATTTCATTAAATAATTTGTTATTTGGACCCTCAATTTTGCTATTAATTCTGAATAAATAAAAATTCAACTTAAAAATATTTTTTACTACTTTCATAAAAAATGTTAATATAAAACTATTAACTTCGTATTAAATCTAAGAATTATTCCAACACTTGTTTTTATGTTATACATATATATAATATAATATAG